TTCCATCCTCTCCACTACTTCCGCAAAGCTCAATAGTTTCATATGTAATTCTTACACATCTCGCCTAAAATTTTAGCCATTCTCTCCAGTTCTGCCTGACCGCCTCCTCATTACCGCTATTCGCCATATCGTTCTAGTGAGGAGGACGATTACGGTAGGTGATTATCAAAGTGGGGTGGAAATCAGCCATTGTACTTTTGCTCGTCTGCTTTTTCTCTGTTATTAATCAGCTTAAATTGCTGGTAGTGACACTACATTCAGATTAGTGCTTTGTTGTTGATGGCTTCATTGAATAAAAATAAACGGCTACAGTAATAAGTTGTCGAGTAGAAATTCTTACAAGTCCGAGACAGACGGTTTCAAAACTCCTTCAATTTGAGGAGGAAGAAAATGTTCTTTTCATAATGTAAGTTACAGTAGTTGAATTTAAATTTCAAGCACTATCGATGTGAAACTACTTTTAGTGATTACTGTTTGGACAAAGATCTCTAAGGTTGCGTCATACTTGCAATTGGCTTGTAACCGTGGATTATCTCCTGCAGGAGGAACCCCTTTTTCAGCAGGTACGTGCAATAATAGTTTCACTCTGAAGTCTAGCTGCGACGATAAGCCCAAGGGTTATGAATGTGAAAAAAATTATTTCTACACCCCAAATGTTGTTGAGCAGTCTTGTAGCGCAGAGGATCAGAAGATCATCGGATAAGTCACCACAAAGTTCGACGAGACTCTGAGTGAAGGATATGCGGTAAAGAAAAAGATCAAATGCAGAAAAGGGATGTGAAGGACGGTAAAAGCTAGCTAAATTAAAAAGTTTCTCTAAGCTTATCGACGCATTCTTTCAAAAAAGAAAATAAAGTTTGATAAACCCAGTTTCTTCTACTCAAGTGGCTAAGGATATCAGGTATGATGGGGTAGACATTTGCGGTGCCCGCTGCCTCAAAATGAGGAAGCGACATGACCACAACCGCTATGATCAAGGACCTCCACCGAATTACTACTCTTCAAATATTATTTTGCAACAAACTAAGCAAATACTAACTTCTGTACTCTGCCCTGGTTCATAGTTCATACGAATCGTTATCGCAGTTTTTTTCATATGTTGCTGTGCGATGACACCTCGTGACTATCAAAACCTCTAATAACAAGTTCAAAAAAGTAAAAGCAGAGCTTTGCTACACTTATCTACCTTTAGACAACAATGGGGCAGATGCAGCGAGGAGAAGGGAACGTAGACCAGTTTCATCACGTAACAATAAAGCCCCTGACTCTGGGAAAAAAAACGATTTGCAACGGATTGATACGTCGCGAAGAATTAATGAGACAAAAGCGTTGCAATGCCACATCAAAATTATTCTTATGAAATATTACAACTAAACTCGTGGATAGGGAAACAGATGATGTAAATCAAGAATAATTGTAAAATATTTTTCTGTTGAGATATTTTTGATTTACCTGCGATGGTCCAATCATTACAAATTTTCCACAGAATTTTGGTTATTTATGGAAACAAGCGTTTATTTAATAACAAGGCCAAAGAAAAAAATCGATACATCATCTATTTTTTACTCTCAATTTTGAAAGATACATCGAATTTCAAGATATCTCCATATTGATAAATGACTGATTTGCCATTTTTTGATAACTTAGCCGTCGCAGATTTATTCAAAAAAACTAAGGGGTTTCAAAATTCACACCATATGATTTCTTTGACTAACTACAGAGTTCACTAATGCTATAGTTTCATGAAAGTCACAAGCCAGTTTAACCTTTGACGCTTCTGTTGCGATAAGATTCATGTCTTCTCACCAAGAATTAGGAGTATTGCGCTTTATTGGAATATATTAGAAAACTACAGACTAGTTCCTTATTAATGACATTTCAGAATAAAAGCAGATGTTTTTAATGGGGTTCTAATAACTATTAGCGATTGAGTCGTACACTCAATCCTCATACACATTTTGAACACGTTTTCTGTGCTGATTGCTGTTCTAGCCGTCAAATGGGCTGGTTAAAAACCTTTTTACCTATCGCAGTCATGCGCCATACAACGACACAAGTTTTTTTTTTAAATCGAATGCAGAGACGTACATTTTTAATGGTCAATTTTTTAATCAAGGACTTCACGCAAATTATGTGTTTTGTGACTTATATATACTGTCATCTGGTGTGTTACAGCGTGCAGTTAGACCATGAGCAAACCGTGAGAGGCCAGCTATTAAATGTAACGCTTGTATGCCATAGTCAGCTTATAGCATTCTTCTCATTCTTTAATGCCTTTGTCTTAACATTTTTGAAGGTTTTCACTGCCCTCGATGTTCCTTCTTATTTTCTTCTCTAGATGCAAGAATGCTTAGTCTTTTTGAGATCTCACTCTTATTTTAAATTTTTCATCTAACTGTAAAACCAACCGATTCTCCATAAACATTTAACTAGAAACAGTCATTACTTTAGGCGGAGAATAGGATAAAATGA